TATATATATATATATATATAAAATTAGCAATTTACTCAAAATATACCATCCAAGATGTACATGAGTTTGTTTCAGAACTGATTTGGAGAAATTACTGTGGAAGAGGTTAATATGGATTATGGTATTTTGGCAAGACACGACGGTTTACAGTTAAAAGCATCTTGATGGACGTTTCTTGCAAACACGCAGCTTTGCACTTTACAAGATATTAATTGATCGACTGGAGTCGTGTGGATTACTGTAATGTTTTTATCAGCTGTTTGGACTCTCATTCTGATGGCACCCATTCACTGCAGAGCATCCATTGGTGAGCAATGACAAATTTCTCCAAATCTGTTCTGATGAAAAACAAACTCATTTACATCTTGGATGGCCAGAGAGTGAGAACATTTTCAGCAAATTTTCATTTTTAGTCCAACTATTTATTTAACAAAAACTAGTTATTTTAAACATTTAAACACAACCTGCTTTTGTTAGTTTCTTAAAGGACATGTTGAAATGACCTTTTGGCCACTCGCAGCACGTCACAGATGCTGCCGATTAAAGCTTAAAGTGCATTGAACCCAGAAAATTACTTCACTACAAATAAGCAGGGTCTCTGATAGTCACCGACTTGACTCAACAAGTACTACATTAAACCTGCGTCTCTAAACGACATGTTAGACAGCACATTTATCTAGTCATATCTGACTGCAGTGTGGCATATCACCACACTCTATAAAAGAGACAAGAGTTAAACGCCACACTGACATAATTTGTAGGATCAATAGAGAAAAAGAAGTGTGCAATCCACCCACATACACCCTATACATAGAAAAGCGAAACAAGAACCCGGTGAACTTCACTCAATATATCGATGTGCAGCGTGTGAGTGTGCTTTCATTCTGAAAGGCACAGCTGTAGTCGTGCATTTGTGATAAGGCAGTGATGATATGGATGTTATGCAGAATGAAGCTCCTATGAAAAATCGGAGCTGATGGTGGAAGGAGAAATGACTCATGTTGTGAATCATGCTCTCCCACACTGAGACTATGCACACACACACACACTCCATTTCTTTCACACTCTCTTGACAAACAATACTGTCCTGATTAAAGGATGTTTGTTAAAAAAGCAACATGAAAATCACAAGGGGATCTTAATATTTGTATCTATTTGTGTGCACATTGCTATCTTACAGTTCTATAATGAGGTCTGCATCTATCCCAGAGTAACAATTTTGCCTTCACTTCTTGCAATTGCAATTGTGTCTCATAATGCGTCTTTAAAATGAACAATTGCGACTTTAATAATTGCAACATTATAAATCGCAATGTAAGTTATACGACGGCGTTTTAGTGCCACGTTAAAAAAATAATAATAATTACGAGATTAAAGTCTAAATATTTTGAGAATAAAGTCAAAATTACGAGAATAAAGTCTAAATGTTTCGAGAATAAAGTCGAAATTATGAGAATGAAGTCAACATATTTTGACAAAGTCAAAATTACGAGAATTAAATCGTAGCAATTAAAGTTATAATATTTTGAGTGTATAGCCTATATTGCGCATGCAAATGGCCCGGATTGGGAGCACTGGGAGAAGTTGCCAGGCTACCGGAATTTGAATATATGTGAGATTATTAGCAGAAATCATACCATGTGTCATACTCGCAGAGACAGTATGCGATATTTTGACTTTATTCTCGAAATATTTAAACTTTATTCTCGTATTGCTTCTCGTCTTGCATTTTCTGAGTCTGTGACCTTGCTAAAAATATGGGATTAAAAAAAATTTAAGGGACCTAGAAATAAAATAAAATAAAGAATATAAATTATGCATTATTTCTAGGTCACTAATTAAATGAGCACATTTTTGCACTCCTTTTTAAAATTCAAGTATTTATATATACAGTGGGTACGGAAAGTATTCAGACCCCCTTAAATTTTTCACTCTTTGTTATA